AATCTGATTTGCCCTAAATTGTGACTTATGGCCGCTAGTTCCTGGGTTAGAGAAACTGGAGGAATCATCCTTGTAGGAAAAACGTTGGAACTCTTCACAACACAGAGATGCTTAGGACAGCTCTGGTCAGTGCTGAATGAGCTCGTTGGTGGGCGAGTGAGGGGTGAGGCCTGGGAGCTGGAGGTCTCAGGGCTTGGCTCCTGCAGGTTCCACACCAACTGCAGGCCTCACTGGCTCCAGCAGAGGGACCAGGGCTCAGCAGACCTCTGCCCAGGAGCCATCTGCCTGCCTGGTTGTCTTCATATGGTACAAACTAAAAATAGTTTTTACAAAAAAAAAAAAAAAAAAAATTGTAAAAGAAACTGGGAGAATCACAAGTTCGAGACTAGCCTGGGCAGCTTAGTGATTTAGTGAGCCTCTTCTCAAAATGTAAAGGACTGGGATGCAGTTAAGTGCAAAGAGCCTGGGTTCAATCCCTAGCACTGCAGCAAAAAAGAAAAAACATGTGACAGACCACAGGTAGACTGCGAAACCTAAAATGTATACTACCTAGCGCTTTAAGAAAGTTTGCTGGGATGTTTTAAGTCATTATGAGATTAACAAGATCTTTTACCTTTGTTCAGAAAATTTGAACTTTAGATCCTCCTGCCTCCGCCTCCTCAGTGGTTGGGATCACTGGCATATGCCACTGTATCTGGCTTAAATTATTCTTCTTCCCCCCACCCTCAGAATGCCTTCAGGGCAGGTCTGGTTTGCTGTGATTATCTGGGAATCTAACCACAGCCTCCTGAGCCTGGCTGCTTTGTTTAAGCAGGCACTTAAACAACAGAGCTAATGGGCAGGACCCCAAACTAGTCTTTTTTTTTTTTTTTTGCGGAACTGGGGAATGAACTCAGGCCCTTGTGCTTGCCAGGGAAGCGCCCCTTATTCTTAGTCTTATTATTTGTGGTACCAGGGATTGAGCTCAGGACCCTGTGCTTTGCCAGTCAAGCACTTATTCTACTGAGCTATCTGCCTGTGCCCTGGCTTAGATTATTAATTTGCACCTTTTCTCTCTGTGGGGAATCTCATGATTCTCAGGCTTTCTTTATCCTTCTCTCTCCTCTGAGTTATATGCCACTGTGGGGCCTAGTAAAGAGCTCTCCCATGTTTGGAGCCTTGACAGCCTTGGTGTTAGAGAGGGTTTTCAGCAGCTCATTTCCCCAAAGTCATCAGGGGTAAGAATTAGATCAGTTGACTTGTTCCTGGGGAAAGCTAGGGCACTTGTCCCTTGTCCCCGAGATGCCCCTTTTGCCTTCCCAAGACTTTTTTTATTTTTAAAATGTATTTAGTACAGGGTCTACAGGGCCTCACTAGGTAGATGGGACTGTGATTCTCCTGTTTTTTTAGCCTCTCAAGTGCTGGGATTACAGGCATGAGACACCATGCCCAGTCTCAATGGCTGTCTCATTGTGCCCCGTGAGCAGGGCCCACATTGCACCCCGGGGATTGGACTCCGGCCGCTGTGCTCTGCCTAAGCAGGCACTTAGGTCTGCTGGGCTATCAGGCTGGCCTCTTTCCCAAGACCTTTGCCAAGTGAAGGGGACATTTTAAGCCTAGGGGGACCAGAGCATCCAGGTAAGCATCGTTTAAAGGGCCCTGGAGACCAGGCACCTTGGTGCTGGCTGTGGGACTCCCCTCCTGCCCAGGTGCCGACTCAGCTGCTCCTTGGCTGGCTGGTCACAGGACAGGAGGGCGCTCAGGACGGGGCTGCAGTGTTGCTTACACTGTAAGCCCAGCCCGGCCTAGCTGGTCACCTGTGGACACGCAGTGTTCTCTCTGGGGGTTTCTTGTTTGGCCTGCTGCCTCCGGACACTGGTGACTTCTGCTCTGGCCTCCCCCCTGCTGTCCCCCAGGCCTCTGGCCACTCTCTGGCCATGGCCTCTGCTGTTGTTGTAGGCAGTCTTGACTAACCCTCTTCTTCCTGCTGACGTCTTAATGAGCTCTTGCCTCTCACAGGCCACCTCTGGCCACTTCCTTCCCCTCACATCCTATGCTACTGCCTAGCACACCTGGGCTGCGGATGGGACGCCCGTACGGTGGACTTGCATTCTCTGTCTATGTGTCTCCGTATCAGCAGGAAACCACGTAGTAAAAGTGGTGAAGCGGTGGTTTCGTGACTCTGTTGGGTAGCTGTCACTGTATACAGTGGGCTTGGAGAACCTGAATCAGCTGTAGCAAGGAACCCATAATTTAAGTGGGACTCGGTTCTTTCCTTACACATGGCTTTCTTCTGCTGGCATCCTAGCATCTTCTGCTGTCTCATCGCTGAGTCTCTCCTCCTCTCTGCCAGCGTGTTTTTACTCATTTTGGCCAGGGCTAGCCATGCCTTTGCGCAACCTGTGACTAAGCCAAGTGCACAGTGAGGGAAAGAGGTGCAGGGGCAGTAAGTGACGGTGGACGAGCCACCTGCTAGCTGACAGGTGCGGGAGCCTGGCCTGCAGCCTCCAGCAGCGAGCTGTGCAGGGGAAGCCCAGCCCCTCGCTCGCTCGCCACCGCACAGCTGCTGCCACGAGCCGCGTGCGTGCGTACTTGCCACTCTGCACCCACCCAGAGGTCCTGACGGTGTCTCTGAGCAATGGACTCACTGTGGTCTCTGTGCTGGCCAGCCCTCTGCTGGTGGTGGTCTGTGTGTGCAGCTGCCCCCAGAGCTGGCGTCGCCGCTGCTGCAGCTCCCCCTCAGATGGGCAGGCATGAGATTCTCACAGGGAGAGAGTTCAGGCTGCAGTGTGAGCTGCGGGGAATGTCTGGAAATACAGAGGAAGCTTCCCCCTTTCCCTCCCACTCACACCCTGCCGTGGAGTCTGGTCCCTAATGTGCCGCAGGCTGGTACGGGCTGCGCCTGGCTAGGGCCCCTACCTTCACGTTTACAGCTCCAACTTTGGGGCCAGAGGCGCTCAGCCCCCGGTCCCAGCCCTTGCCAGTGCCAGCCACCCCAAGAGCGCCTCAGTCCCCAAGCCCACGGTCCTTCCAAAGCTCTCCGCTGATCTCCCCACGGTGCTGCCGCCTCTGCTGCTGCCGGCTGTCTTCAGCGAGGCCACTGCAGGCTGCTACCAGCCTCTGGAGCTCTTCAGGGCTGGCAGCCCCTGGAGCTAGTGGTTCATTTTACTATGACGTGCCTACACTGTGGAAGATAAGGCCCACCCAAGCGTGGCTCTCCTGGGACCTGAGCAGTGGTACAGCAGGTGGCAGGTAAGGCCACACAGCTGGCACAGAGCAGGGTGGGCACATGCACGCGGGTAGCTCATTTCCAGCACCTTTCTGAATGCTGTCCTGGGGGTAGGATGCAGTCCTCTGAGGTGATCCATATTTCAAGCCATGGCAGGGTGCCCAGGACCCCTTCGCTGTCATGGCAACAGTGCAGCCAAACTTTGGGAGAAGGTCCTACTTGATGACATCTCTGCTTTCCCACAGAAGGGTAGACCTGAGGTTGCATGTGCTGCTACTGCTGGGAACTGTTTTAAAGACACCTTATTTGTGTCAGTTTGTCTTGGAAATACACAGTGGCCGTGCTCCTCACGTGGCGCTGGTGCTCGCGTCATACATCATAATCCTCCCCCTCCCCCGTCTCCCAGTGCCCTTCCCTTTTGGGAAAGATCAGTCTCCACACTGAGCCGTGTGCCAGATTTATGTCACTTGCTGCCTGTGGTCACAAGGTGCATCCACTTGCCTATGAGTGCCTCAGATTTGAGGAGCCTCTAGGAGATTGTGATGGCCATGGGCCTTTGGGAATTAGGGGTTGGGAGCAGCTGCTGCGGCCTGTTCCCTCCCTATCAGGTGCGGTTTCCTCAGGGTGCTGAGGGTGGTGAGTGTAGAAACCCTGCAGGTAGGGACTGGAGGAGGCCATCTGAAGTCCCCCCAGGGGCGGCAGGAGGACGCTGGGCTCACAGCCACAGGCCACCCTGAGAAAGCTGCCAGTCAGGTCACAGCTTCCATGGCATCAGAAGAAAACGAGGGTTTGGCCTCCCTCTTTCTTTTGCCTCCTTCCTGTGCCCAATGCTCCTCTGTTCCATCTAGCCACTTGGGATTTTCTGGAAATTCTGTGCTGCCCTGTCCAGCTCTTCTGGAGACCAGCCCACCCTGTGGGCTCCTTCTGCGTAGCCCCTGTTGGGAGGGCCAAGCCTCCCCAGGCTCCTGTCCTCAGTGCCACTGAGCCCAAGATGCTCTGCCTAGAGGACTGCATGTGGGAGCTGTCCTGCTTCCCAGGGAGGTGCTGGCACAGGGCCTGGAGCCCCATTGCTTCATGTTTCAGGCCCCTGTGCCTCTGCTGGGCTGTCCCCTTTGCCCTCCGTGACCTCCAGGCATCTCTGCCATTGCAGGAGAGTCATGTCCTTGGGAGCTGGGCTTCCCTGTGGTCCCTTCACAGGACCACCACTCACTGTCTCTCATCTGAGACCCTCCTGGGCTATTTTTTCCTCTCTGAGAGGGCACAGGGAGAGGAGAGAATGAGAGAGAAGGGAAGAGAGAGGAGGAGGAGAGGAACAGAGGAACAAAGAGAAAGAGGAAGGGGGAAAGAAAGGAAGAGAGGAAGAGAAAGAAGAGAGCAAGAAACAGACAGACAGACAGACAGACAGACAGACAGACAGACAGACAGAGGGAGAGAGAGCCAGAGAGACCAGGATCAGCTCCTCTTTCCCTCCTTCCTCTCTTCTGCCCACAGCTTGGCAGCTGTCCCTGGAAACGCTGGAGGCTGAGCTGGCTCATGAAGTGCAGCTCTACCTTTCCCAACCTTGCCTCTCAAGGACCCACATGGCAATGTGTCCCTGCTGTTCCCTGCCAGCGCCTCCTTTGATGGGGCATGGAAGGCAGTGACCGTGGAGGCTGCAGAGCCCCCTCGGCCTGCGTCAGTGTGTGCTGGCTGGTGATTGGGCTTCTGAGGGGACTCTCCTGGTGTTAGGGAGCTGTCCCAAGTGTACAGCACCACTGTGCCATCTCTCATGCCCTGTCACTTTCCCCTACAGGGCCTGTATAAAGCAGACGTCCGATTTGGGCCAGGCGTGGAGACCTACCCCGATGGTAGCCAGGACGTGGGGTTGTGGTTCCGTGAGCACCTCATCAAGCTGGCCACAGAGATGCCCGGCAGCTTCTCCATGCTCAGCTACCCAGAGTTCTCTGCCTTCCTCACGTGCTCTCGGGAAAGGATCAGCCTTCCAGACCAGCAGACCATGGAGTGGGGCCCACCCGAGGACCAGGACCCCTTCTTCTATGAGTATAAGCGCTTTCTCCTGAATGATAACCTGACACTGCCCCTGGAAATGCAGGTCTACTCAACTGACTCCTGCCATCTGCCCATGACAAGCTCTTTACGCAGAGAACTGGATGCCCAGATCTTTATGGATGACATCCCGCCATTTGTTGACGATGAAGAACCCTGGTTTATAACAAATGAAACCCCTTTATTGGTCAAAATCCAGAAGCAGGCTTACAAGTTCAGGTGATCAGTCTGGTCTTTCTCCTCCATCCCACTGTCCCTTAGTGGACAGATGTCCCTCTTAAGCAGGTTCCTGGGGTCCTCAGTACCAGGCTGCCTCAAGGGTAGCCTTGCTCATGGAGATATGAACAAGAAGCTCTTGTTGCAGTGGGAGATATAGCCCAGGGGTGGAGAGGGACAGCAGATCCCCACCATGCTTGGGGTGAGGGGCTCCCTGAGTGGGAGGGGCTGGCAGTCTGCACAGAGGAACAGGCACCCCAGGGCCCTACTTGACCCTGCTCCAGGAAAGGGGTGGTTGGAAGGTGGTTTGGTGCAGGGGCAGCCAGGGTGTCCCAAGGCAGGTGTGGACCCCTGCAAGGCAACCCTGAGGGCAGATGCTGGCTTTGGGACCTGTGACTATTTCCTCCTCTGTAAGTCTGAGCTGAGCACCCTGAACTTGGGTTTGTGTCTGTGATTAGGTGTGCTGTGGGTCTGGCTGCAGCCAGGAGCAGCCTGCAGGGAAGGTTGTTGTCATCACATCAGTGCAGGAGCCAGGCATCTCAGGGCCACTGCAGGAGAGGGGGCAAGGTGGGTGGCTGGCGGGAACTTGGCTTCCCGAGGAAGGCAGTAAACACGGAGCTGCTCTGTGCACCTCCAGTGATTCCACGTCATCCTCATCCACAGTACCAGGAGAAGCTGCACCCACTGAGGGGAAACTTTGTTTTTTCTTTCTTTAAAATTTTTACTACTACACATGTGCAGTACATAATGATTACATTCATTGTAGGGAGTTGGCACATGAGCATAATACATCTTAAATTTTTTATTTCCCATTTTTCCCCCTCCAGCCCCCTATATTTCCATCTCTTGTCTCCCTCCCAGAAGTTAAAGGAGTTAATTCTGAATCCTTTTTCTATTTTTTTTCCCTTTGGCTGAACCAGGGATTGAACTCAGGCCCTTGTGCTTGCCAGGGAAGAGCTTATTCCACTGCCTTAATCATCACTAAACTGTTTAAGAATATATATTTTATGACCACAAGTGGTTATTTTTTCGGCCATTCCAGCAACCATCATTTCATGTATCTAGATAATCATCCGTCCTTCCTTTTATCCATGCATCCATCCATCCATGCATCCATCCATCCATCATCCATCCATCGTCCATTCATGCACCCAGCCATGCATCCATCCATCCATGCATCCATCCATCCATCCATCCATCCATCCATCCATCATCCATCAATCCATCCATCTGTGCATCCATCCATCATCCATGCATCCATCCATCATCCATCCATCATCCATCATCCATCCACACATCCATCCATCCATCCATCCATCCATCCATCCATCCATCCAATTATTCATATATCTCTCCATTAATTGATACAGCCATGCAGCCATTCATGAAGTCATCACTCCATTCATCTGACCATTCATCCATTCACCCATCTGCCTGTCCATCCATCCATACAGCCAACATTTTATCCACTACCCTTCCTTGTAGCCATCATTCCGGCATCCATACACCCATGCATCCACTCACCTGCTCATCCAAGCAACCAACTTTTATTCTAGCCATCCAGCCATTCATCCTGAAAACATCACCTAAACCTTACTGATGACTGCTGGGTACATAAATCTGTGAGCTCTTGATTGTGAATGGGAGTTTTGTGTACACAGGAGGTTCAGTGTTGTTTGATGAACAGCCCAGTCTGTATGCAGTCAGAAAAATGAGCGGAGGGTAGGATGTGGGTGCTTGGTGCTGAGTGGCAGACCCAGGCAGGGCTCAGCCCCCCACCTCTGCACCAGCCTGCTGCTCTGAGAGCCAGTTTCCCAACAGACATGGACTGATATTCCTGAGTCAGAGACGCACGGGGTCTGTGAACAAGTACCACACCCACTAGGACAGGCACGTGGCCCAGTCCTCTTCACCCCTAGAAGCCACGTCCTCACCACTGCGCTGACTGCAGCTTACTGGTGGTGCTGCTGGCAGGGCTCAGGATGCCCAAGGAGTGGACTTCTGGAGCAGGGGGCCCTGGGCAAGGTGGGGGCCTGGGGAGCGAGATCAAGGGCAGCGAGGGCGGCTCTCCCTGGGCTCCTCCCGTGGAAGATCCTGTACAGTGTGGAGCCACCACCGCTGAGGCCTGCTGTGTTGCCAGGAACAAGGAAGCACACACCAGCTGGAAGATGGGCGCCATCTTGGAGGGGAACCGCACCGGCTTCGGGCGCACAGGGCCCAAGGAACAGTTTTCCCAGGAAATGATCCTTAAGGCGGAGCAAGGCGCCTACGACTGGATCTGTGGGATTCTGAAGGACCGCCTTGCCTGTGCTGACGTGGCTGATTCCAAGGGCTACACTGTGCTTGCCGCAGCTGCTGTAAGCGCCTCTCCACCCGCGGTGCTGGGGAGCGCTGAGCGAGAGCGTCCCTGCTGGGGGTCCTCCACGCCCCTCTGCACAAACAAAGCGGAAGTGCGCAGGGTGCTGAGGGGCTCGCACTCGCCCCCTTCCTGAGCACGAGGCCAAGGGGAGGGCACAGGTGGGCGGTGGCCTCTCCACGCATGTCATGCTCTTGCCTCGTGCTCCTCCACTCGCCACTGAGAGTGCTGTGCTGTGTCTGCCTGCTGCAGCAGGGCCCCAAGAGGGTGGCCCACGCTCGGCAGCCCTCCGAGGGCTAGCTGTTGTTTCCTGAGTCTGGCCTGTGTCCCTCTAGGTGCACTGTCACAATGACATCGTTAGCCTCCTCCTGGATCATGGGGCCAACGTGAACAAGTTCACAGACGAAGGCCTCACACCGCTCAACATGTGCCTCCTGCTGTACTACCCCAGTGGATCTTTCAAACCCAATGTTGCTGAGAGGACGGTGCCCCAGGTCAGCCATGCCTGTCCGTGTGTCTACCTAATGTTCACCGGCCACCTCCCCTCATGGGGATCAGGCCATTCAGGGCTGGTGAGGAAGGAGTCACAGTGGAGCCCCAGGCCCTGCCCATGAGGTTCCGTGTGCCATATCACACACCAAGCCACCTGTGTCCCTTAAATCTTGCAGTGTAGCACCTGCCCCTGCCAGTGTGCCCAAGGGGTAGTATCTGTGACAGTCCTCAGGTAGGGTCCTGGAATTTGCACTTCTCACGAGTGACACCTATGCCATCCTGGGGTGCCCTGAGCCCCGAGAGTGTAGCTCATGGCACGTGTAGCCTGAGTACAGTGCGTCTGAGAGATGGTGTGCAGCGTGGCAGGAGCCCATGCACAGCCTGCCCTTTTCCAGTAACCACAGTAAACAGTAGTCAGCTGAGGATGATTTTAATAATGTGTTAGTTTAATGTACCCCAAATAAGATCCTGCCTGTTGGTAATCAGTATGAAAGGAACATGAGCGAGATGTTTTGCCACAAGCTTCTTCATCACAGAGTGCTGCTGGGTCCTGGACAGGCTGTTTTTTGGGAGCCCTAGGCTGTGACCGGCTCAGCTTACAGTTTTGGGTGCTGGTGGCCCAGGTGTCTCCTTCCTCTCTGAGAATAAGAAAGGAATATCTCATTTTTTTTTTAGAAAGTCACATCTCAAAACCAGCCCAGGCTTCCAAACTGGTACAGGGGCTGGCTGCAGATCGTTGTTGGGGAGCTGCCTCTGTTCCTTCTTTCTCCTAATGGCACTGTTTTTGGTACTTTCCAAAGGAGAAGCCAAAGCAGCTCCTCATCCTCAAGCCTTCCTGCTCTGGTGTGGAGATGACTGTGGGCTCCACCTACGAGGCGGTGGAGCTTGCCCCAAGCAGCAGGGAGCAGAAACTGCTGCCAAGCCCTCCAGGCAGCCAGGAGGATGGGCTAGCCTTGGGTGCCCCTCAGTCTTTGGAGTCCAGCTCCCCTTCAGCACAGGGCGCTCTCAGTGACAGGGAGAAAGGGCCAGAGGATGCATCCGGAGGCCTGGACGTGTCCCCCCTGTGCAGCGAGACACACTTCGCCTCCAACCTGTGTGTACACAACTACTCCATCCAGCTCTCGAGGGGCATGTTGGAGAAGAGCGCCCAGGCCTATAGCACACTGCAGGCCCCTACTATCCCAGACAAGGGGACCGTGAGGGGGATGGCGTGGTCCATGGTTGAGTAAGTCCGTGCTCCAGCTGATGGGGTGGCGGGTCAGGGGACCCCGGAGCCTGGCGCACAACCTCACTGCCTGCAGCACCCTGGACAGTGGCCCTGGGGGTGTGTGGTGTGTGGGCACACAGATGTGCGATCTGTGTGATGCGGGTGGTGCACGGCTGTGTGGAGCACCTGTGGTGCAACTTCCTAGACATGGGGCGGTGCTGCTCTGCACGGGCTGGTCACTGTCCCATGATGAGGCGTTCCCGACTCCTGCAGCCTTCTTCACAGGTCTCATCAAGGCTAAGTGATCCCTCTGCCTTGGGTCTGGAGCCCAGCAGGGAAGGGGGTGACCTGGGAGTTCCCCAGAAGGCTGTGAATGCCAGGTTTGGGTGTTTGTGAGTCCAGCATTCCTCCTGGACAGTCCTCCACCAGGAGAGCGCCTGCCCTGTGCCATGCAGGAGCCGACAGCGCCCCTCCCGCTGGTCCCCGCAGACACAGATGCCGGTGGTTGACCATCAAGCTGCTTCTGCACCGAGGTGCAGACCCCAACCTGTGTTGCGTACCCATGCGGGCCTTGTTCTTCGCTGTGAAGGCCGGGGATGTGGATGGGGTGCAGCTGCTGCTGGAGAGCGGGGCCAGGACCGACATCCGGTACCCGCCCCAGGTAGGCGCCACCCCGGGTGGGCGCAGCCACCCACCTCCAGCAAGGACCTGGCTCCTCCTCGCTCAGCCTGCAGCTCCTCTGGGTCCCCCCCCCCCCCCCCCCCCC